TTCGTGAAATTTTAATTATTAAATTTAGTGTATACATTTTTTGAAGCTCTTGTGCATTATTTCTTTTTGTACTGAATTATAATAGGAATAACAGTACTGTAGTCGAAAAGTTTTAGCCGTCAATTTGGATTTGACTGTCGCAAATAACTTTTTTACTGGCTCCGATTGTCCAATTTATGCTAAACCCACTTTACATGTCCGTTCCAAACCAGGAACCTTAATAAGTCAGTGGTTGTTACTTGCTGCTGTCTGCGAAATTTGTTTTTGTACATTATAACAGATCATGTCGCTGGAATTTTTTTCACGTTATAGGTTGTGGAAAATTGTGAGATTTTGTATAGATTATGCATGGAAAACCCAATTTTGTGTGATAAAAAGAAAACTAAACTATAGAATTTTAAGATAAAATATGAGAAGATAGCTCTAATAATATGCTTTAAGATAACCGGTCCGGTCACCGGACTCATTTTCTTTCTACAAAATATTTTAGGTAAATTCATAACACATTCTATTATAAAGTTACTGTATCTGAGCTATCTCCCCTTATGTGGCAAAATTGAAAAAAAAAAATGAACCAAACAAAAATATTCTGTTTTTTTGTAAAATATGACAAAACACACAATTATCTATATAAAGATAAAAAAAAGTCTTGCATATGAATTACATACTACTCTTGAAATTTGCACATTTCATTTCAGATCTAGATCGATTGTTATCTGCTATTTCAAAATCCAAGATGGAGGAAGGCACCCCAGTTACCTTAAGGCATACGGTATTTCCGGTAACTTAATTGCGAATATTGAAGAGTGGATTATATCCTGTTTCCAAACTAAGAGAGCTTGATACATAAGCAGTAACTGTCCGAAAATATCAGAATGGAGAAGTTGACAGAATTAATTTTTTTAAAAGGACATTAGCTGTCAAATTCATGTTCACCGATTTGACTCAGAGTATCATATTTGATTTATTATATATTTAAATGTATATCCACATTACAAAAAGTATAAAATTAACAATTAACAATGCAATATGTATAGCATATGTATTAGCCTTTCGTGTGTATTTTAGTCTAGACGCCATCTAATTAATCATCGAGATGACCTCCAAAGACTGCCGACGGTCATATAATCCGACATAAATATAAATATGAATAGATATCGGCGAGCAATTGCAATTGGATTTTTCTAGGTCTGTTTTCGTATTATAGGTTAAAAATATGTTAATCATCATATTCAACTGTATAAGAATGATTTTTTTGGTGGATCAAATCGGTCATCCAAATGATTCACTCTTGTTTCACTTTCAGTGTTGACATTCTTTTCCTTTTAATAGCTGAAAACGCCTAGTACATGCGTAACCCATCTCTAAATAAGGGGTTAAACTGAATGTCACATGAATATGGATTCATCGAGGTTAAATTATTGACTTGCAAGTCAATAATACATCAGCAACGTTTTTCAGCTTATTTTGACAAATATGGGCCAAACTGACTGCTTATAACGAAATATTATATCAAAATTCCGCTTTTATTAATACTTGAAACAAAAAAAGTTGCATTTTAAAATTGTTGTCTAAATCGTAGCCAATGTCCTTTTAAAGTGGTTGGCTTCAAATATGCAGCACGTACCGACGTGTAAAATTGGAAGTTTTACTCTTTTTTTTTTCATTTTTATCTGTATATATTTCCAGGACTTAGTGCTTGTGCATAATAAAACGGACTTATCACACTCGGAACCCCATTTTCACCACCTCGTTGGTGAACAGAGGAAAAAGAATAACGTAAGGGATAGTTGAATAAGTTAAATTAATAAATCAAAAGGTATTATCTACCTGTGCTTACCTGTAACATAAATGCGCGCAAATGTAATCAAAAGCTGCGCGCAAATGTAATGAAGGCCAACGGTGACCGATAATTGTTCATATATCTGTCGTTTGGTCAATGGATAGCTGTCTCATTGGCGATCATACTACATCATTTTTTTTTATAATGCGTTAGTAACCACCATAATCACTTATGATAAACAAAACTGGTGTTGTAAGATTAGAGATATTTTGTTTAGATATGGATTTAATTATGCATAGTTAAATCCAAGTGTAGCTTTTACAGATATGTTCCCATTATACTATTGAAAAACAGAATGCTTGATACATTCGTTAGTGAAGTAACAGCGGTTTTTGAGAATTCAAGTAAATATCATTTTTATAGATATATGTATAGCATACATGAAGCGTATAGGTATCTTTTTTTGTTGTTGTTGCTATTGACTTGTTGCGTTATATCATACTTATCGATGTATTTTATGTCGACTTGTGTGGCGATACCGCAATAAGTTATGAAAAATATTGCGAAATATTGTGTTATATCAAAACAATGCGATATAAAAAATATTGACTTGAAGTAGATGTCGATACAAATTATAATCAAATTTGATTATATCGATTAAAAGGGACAATTAATTTTATAAATATATTTATCTCAATATTTCGAGAACAATATACCGCTATATGTTTCTTATATTACGATATATCAATATACTAGAAATGATTTGTTGCGTTATTTCGTCATATATCGATTTTGATATATAGAATGATTGACACCGGCTCGCTTGATACGGTGCCTTTGGTCCGGGATTTTCATTTTTGTCCGATAATTGTCTTTTTGTCCGACACTTTTGCTTTTTGTCCGTTGCTTTTGGTCCGTTTTGCTTTTTGACCGATAACTTTGCGTTTCGTCCGACACTTTTGCTTTGTGTCCATTGCTTTCGGTCCGTTTTACTTTTTATCCGATTATTTTGCTTTTAGTCCGACACTTTTACTTTTTGTCCGTTGCTTTTGGTCCGTTTATCCTTTTTTATTGTAGGTAGTTCCTTTCAATCTCACTAAAGCAGAAAACCTTACATCGAAATTAGCAAATCAATTCAAAGTCACCGTTTTATGCCGACCCAGGGGACAGAGCCTCAAAATAGTCATCTAACTGATATGTACTGATAGTAATGTAACTGTATAGAAAATACCGAAACTTAATATTAAAAATTGCTTATCAGTTAAAGTTGCTAGACCATGACCCAGGAGGCAAGGCTTCAAAATAATCAAACTGATATGTACAGATATTAATGCAACTTTATATCAAATAACAATAATATTTCACAAGTAGATCATATGAAACTAATTTAAGCAGAAAAACTTTACAATTCTCGTCGCCGGAAAAGCAATCCCTAAGTGTAGTTTTCAGCTACTTTCTTCGCAGGCGAGACAAGAACCATATCGAAGGATAGCGACGCCGTATTTGCAAACCCATGTTTCGCAATCTGTGGCTTTCATCTCAGGCGTTTTAGGTGATTTTTTTCAAATATAAAGATATTAATAATAATGCTCATTATAACGATCGTCAAAATATTTACCAATACTTATTTATAACCGAAGCGTACGATTAATTAAAGCATGCTTAGCGGTAAATTCAGAACAAATTGATCAGACTAGTAAAAAAGACAGAGACTCCAAATGCTACTCATTTATAGAGAGGAATAAGGTTTGTATTTATTTCAAATATGTCATTGAGTTTCCAAGTTCAAATGAAACCTACAAAAATATGAACATTTTAAAATGGACATAATGCAGAATCATTTGACAAACAGCAAATCGGACAAAATACAAAAGTGTCGGACAAAAAGCAAAACGGACCGAAAGCAACGGACAAAAAGCAAATGTGTCAGACTAAAAGCAATATAATCGGACAAAAAGCAAAACGGACCGAAAGCAACGGACAAAAAGCAAAAGTGTCGGACAAAATGCAAAATTATCAGGCAAAAAGCAAAACGGACCAAAAGCAACGGACACAAAGCAAAAGTGTCGGACAAAAAGCAAAATTATCGGACAAAAAGCAAATCCCGGACCAAAAGCACCGTATCAAGCGCGCCGGTGTCAATCATTCTATATATTGAAATCGATATATGTCAAAATAACGCAACAAATCATTTTCTAGTATATCGATATATCGTATTATAAGAAACATATAACGGTATTGTTCTCGAAATATTGAGATAAATATATTTACAAAATTGATTGTCCCTTTTAATCGATATAATCAAATTTGATTATAATTTGTATCGACATAAATATATCGACATCTACTTCAAGTCAATATTTTTTATATCGGATTGTTTTGATATAACACACTATTTCGCTAAATTTTTCAAAACTTCAAATCCGCGAAAAGTATATCAAAAAGTATTATTTGAAAAATCCACTAGCATACAAACTTATCTGTTGTTATCTGTCAGAAATATTAAAGAATTGAATAAATTTAGGTATAATTTTAGAATCAGCAGAAACAATTTAATTGCATGTATATAGTATACATGTATATGCTCTCACATATTGTGTTTATCAAAGTATATCATTCTCCGCTCGTATTTCGTATTTTGTATTGCAAAAAAAATGTATGTAATAATTATTATATTGTATGTCATGTACACTTTTATATTTATATATTGTGTAACTCAAGAATATTTTGTAAACATTCTTATTATTAGTGCATATAAAATTATTATCATTATGTGTATGTATCCTATAAGCTGTATTCTCTTTTGGAATAAATTATTATCATTGTGTGTATGTATCCTATAAGCTGTATTCTCATATGGAATAAAGTATTATTATTACTAATAAAATAGTAAGTGAATTTAACTTATATAATTCGAAATAAAAACAAATCATCAAAGAAAAACTGTTAAGTGTAGTATTGAAACCTATCTCGATGTTAATACATTAAACATACTGCGCAAGGACTGCAGGTTTTTATAAATTAATGCCATCAATTGAAAAAAATAAATATATTTTTCCCTTAACAATTAAACAAATTTAAACATTTATGTTTAAACATCGTTTTCTTATTGTAATAAAAGAAAGCACTCGCCTGGAAGATCAGTTTGACGTTTTTTTTCAACAAAGGCATTATAATGGTATAAAGTTACTAAAATAGACTTCCGTGTTAATTTAAGTTTGATTTGGAGAACCCTTTATCAAGTTGAATACGAAAAATGAACTACGAAGCCCTAAAAGACTTGCCTCCATGCGTTGCTATAAAATTTCGAACGTTTCTAGAAAATCCAGAAATGCTGTATGAACTGACAGGATTACCGAAAACAATGATTGTAAATTTGACCAGTAAAGAAGACAGGTAATTAATTATTAAATGTATAATACATAGGTTTACTTTTAAATCATTATTTTAATTGAATTCACATAAGAAATACAATGATGTCAACCAATAGATTTACAATTCAATTTCACCAATCGTTTTCTTCTGAATGATTTTAAACGTTGATATTTGTCCTATTTTGACTTTGATTGAACTTTCAATTATAAATAAAGGAATAACTTGACTTTCCAACTGTTAATTGTCACATCTCTGTTTGTTATGTTTACTTGGAAAACACACACCCCATTTTAAGTATGGAATCTATATTTTTCAGTTGATTCGATATGTTAATAAGATTGCATTGTATATTTTCATATCGGACGATTTTTCTGGTGTCACAAGATCTAAATCTGCGAAAACATGTCTCTTGTGAGTTGAAATAAAGACACAATATATCTGTCAACCCCAATTCGTGACGGTGAACGTAACTCGAAATCTATGAAGCGTTCTTCCTAGCTTATACCCTTGCGGAGGGTTTTTCGTGTTAGAAAACATACCCCTCGGTTTATGTGAACACGAACATATAACATATTTAATGAGAGATATGGAATGTATAGGAGAGGGTATATTACTACAGAAAAAAAGGAGTTGAAAATGCGGAAACTGGAATCGACACGTTCGTCATATAGATGCTAGTTTGAAGTTGTCAAACTCTCTTATTTTTTTTATGAAACTATCAAACTATGATGTAGAACTTCTATTTTTTGTAGTATCCTCAATATAAAGTTTATTAGCATAGAAAAAAATTCAAGTATTTGATGAGATGTGGTTTATGAATTATATCAATCGGAACGTGAATCTGAATAATTAAGCATAAAAATGTTGGATTTTATATAATGAACAGACTACATCACATTTATTTTACTTTTACTTTTGAATCATATTATTTGGCTCTCTCTCTCTCTCTCTCTCTCTCTCTCTCTCTCTCTCTCTCTGTAACGTATATGGTATTTGTTTCCATAACCCAATGTTCATGACTTTGTTGCTGATATGATAAATAGTTATGCATTATTAAGAAATCGTAAAAAAATCTGTATGGAATCTTTTGAAAAGTACCGTAGTTATTATCATATTGAAGGACAGAATGAATGCAATAAAAGTACTTTATATTTAGCATGTTAAGCTTGTTCCAACTCGCCTCTGAGGATTATTTATAGTTAGTAATTTTTATCTTCATGAGATCAGTGAAAGTGGATACAGCAGAAGAACTCCAACTTATCAGCGAAGATCTCCTTCACAAACCACTTTTATTCCAATGTTGTGTACAACATCAAATAACTGAAAAAAGTCCATGTTACACGGAAGTGAGGACATGGACAGGTATGTACATGTATGGATAGATACTGTAAAAAGCGTACTCTATTTGTTGATGCCATATAATAAGATTCATATATTTGTAGTTTCCGAGAAGTTAGTTCATTAAAATATTATAAAACCATTGAAATGGCAATGATTATTGTTCAATAATATTTTATCAGGACTGTTCGTTTCATCTTTATCCGTTATACACACAATGTCTGTACAAAGTCAGGAATATAGCAGTTGTTTTTCACTTGTTCCGTTGGCTGATAGCGTTTGATTTTGACAGTTTTTATGGAATTCCCCATTTTGAATTTGCCTTGGAGTTCAGTATTTTTGTCAGATGTTTTTTTATATAATTACCAATTCACCCATGCTATTTTTATTTGAATATCAAAAAACAAAACTTCTGTACTTGTAAGCATAAGACTTATATACCTTATGTAATTCAACAAGAAATTACTCATAATGATTGCCCATAATAACAGTTAATCACATTTATATTGAATTTATTTCAAACAATCAGTAACTACCAGTATCTTATTAAATTTGACAATTGAACAAATATTAGTAAAACACTAATACTTTGTTTTGCGCTTTACAGCATGGTTTGCCGTTCTCATAAATCCTTGGCATCCAGCAATTCAAGAGTTTTTACATCCATTATTGACAGAAGCAAGTAATCATGTAAATGCTGGAGAAAAAATCTGCCTAAAGGTAAAATTTCATCCAGAGGCTCCAAGGAGCCTGTAATATTTTCCTGCAAAAAGGATCCCTTCATAGCTGAAGAGCATTAACCGCAGATACGATAAAAGGTACTGAGAGTGAAATCATAAAATGATATTCTCTATCGACTTCATATCAGTCATGGCATATCATGTAGAAAGCGTTGAATTATTTATTGTTCAAATTGTCAGACATGAATTTTTCCCTTCATGCAGATCTTTATATAGAATTTCAGACCGACACCAGAGTAACTCGGTTGTTAAGATCATTTATTTGAACATATCTGTCAATATAAAAATAAAGGAGATATTGTATGAATTTTAAAGAGAAAACGGGTCATTCGAACGAACAAAACTCAACGAATAATAAACAATAAAAAGCCAAAGAAGGCCTGACTAGAAATAAGAAATATCACAAAAAGAAAACAATTAATACTAAAATAATAAAAGAAAAACAATGAAAACAGACAGCAACCGACAAAACCCCTGGATTTACAACTAACAGATGGATGCCACCGCTGGTAACGTTTAGACCCGCAGCTAACACCAACCAAGTACATCAGTGTTGACAAAAACTATCATTGATTCGTGTACTGTTACTAAAATATCAAAATCATTCAAAACACTTACCCTGAAAAAAATCCTCACTAGACGATTTATTTAGGGATCGAATATACAAATGTAATAATTTCCCTTTAGTTTTTTCTTGATTTAAAAAAAAAATATTTCTGAAAATCTTCTTAGACAATTGTAAACATCATTTTATCGCAAATTCTATAAAACTGTAATACATTGATATTCTTTAACGGTATTTTTGACAGATCAAATTCGGAAAATGTGTTAAAGACTGGTTCAGAAGAAATGTAGATGACGGCTGTGAGTGTAATGGACGGAAAACGACACTGAGTGGTATGGGATTATGTATTTACAACTATTCTACACCTCTGAAGGTCTGCAGTTATCCGTGGATGATTGTTTGTTGTTTTCCATTCTGGTTCCTGTTTGGAGGACCTTATTACCTGGTTAGTTATTATCGTATCAATAGTGTTCTGTTAAAGTAAATATGTTTTCAAACGTATCGCGCTAAACAAAAACAGATAACAAAATATTGTCGGAAGCCCTCTTTGGATCTTAGTCTCTATCTAACTAAAATAAGAAAAGTTGGCATAATTACATTATTCATTATCAAAATATTTTGTTGAAAATCTAGTTTAAAAACGGTTATTTTCCTCAGGTTTGAATTAAAGTATAACCAGTTGTGGTATTCATCTTTAAACAATGACTGGGAACCATATATTTGTCATTTGGATATAAACCTAGAACATATAGATTCTTAAAGTTTAAAATATGTTTTAAATCCAATCTTTCTATAGGAAACAGGACTCCGAGAATTCAGATGAAAAAATGTATCATTCATTAACATAATCTTGAAATAGAGAGAGGTAGATATACTTCAGGCAATAAATATTTGTAATCTTTAAAAAAAAATGGAAGAAGAACTTCACTTTCTGCTTAAATAAACCATCCTAGTAAAAAGTAAAATAACAAAAATACCGAACTCCAATGAAAATTCAAAACGGAAAGTCCCTTAACAAATGGAAAAATCAAAAGCTCAAACACATCAAACGAATGGAAAAATTGTCATATTCCTGCCTTGGTACAGGCATTTCTTTTTGTATAAAATGGTGGATTAAACCTCTCACTTGTATGACAGTCGCATAAAATTCCATTATATTAACAACAATGTGTGAACAAAACAAACAGACATAATAGGTATAAAAATGTCAAAAATTGGGGTTCAGCAGTCAACATTGTGTTATAATCTAACTAATTGTTATAAAATAAAACAACTATGTCAACAAAGAAACACAAAATGGCATGTAGACACTCTATAGAAAAAGCACATAAGCAAAAATGAAAGACAAGAATACAAAAAATGACCATAGCACAATAACACAATGGAGGGATGTATAAATAACGAGCCACGCCAAAAGGATATTACCAAAATTGGATTAGACAGTAAAGGTTAAAAATATACAAAGACAAATAAAAAGAACACTATAACACACGTAATTAGGATGATAAACAACGTCAGTACCTAGAATGTATACTTCAAGACCATCATGTATTATTTATGAAGTTGATACGGAATATTTATCAACAAGGTCTTGGTATCTTTCGATGAACTTTTTTTTTAGAAAAAGGACGAGACGTTCTTTGGCATAACCTTGGTTCATCAACTTTCAGCTCAGACACTGTTGACGTTTTATAAAGTCTGAGTAGCATCTGCAAGCTCTTGAATACCGAATAAGTGTTTATCACAAATATTGGCAAACCTTACAAAAATTTTCACAATTTTGATATTCATTCTCCATTTATTTGGCTCAAGTCAAGTTTAGGTAGTCACATATTTAATCAAGTATGTATTTTGATCAATTTTAATAGAAAACAAATTTTAGAAACTAAGTTAAGTTCTTAGTTTTACTTATTAAAAGACACAATAGGAATAGGTACATTCATGATAGTGATTTGATTTATATTTTGTACATTTGTGGTTATAAGTATATGTAAATGGCAGCCTCGGACAAAACAGAATAATTCATTAAATATTTGAAGGATTCAGTTTGGTATTTTATGATCACTGTCTTGTCAATGTCAGAACAAATATATAGATATATATATACTGACGGACACTAAAAACGCAACACACATTTTGTTGATTTTTTTTACCAAATCACGAATGATCCTCATACAACTACTCTTCATGCTTACCATACTTCTTCATGTTTAGAAAAAATCAATACCGGATTTACCTTAGGTACTAGTAATTCAACATATCGAATTTCTTAAAGCGATATTTAAAACCCATAAATGATATTTTAAGGTTTTTTTCTTCGTGAAACAATTCTTTCAATCCATACCGTCACTTAAATCAGTAAAACAATGTTGCATTTTCATATTTACGAGACAGAACAATGAAATACTTCATCAGGCCATAATATTATTGCACATAGAAATAAGTGAACGTGCTGTTGCTGAAAAATTCACACCAGAAACTCCTATTACTCTTATTACTGTCCTTACAACAACGGTAGAGGCAGAAGGGATTTGTTGATGACCACCCATGATCAGATTTATAGGTTGTGAAAACGCTACGTCAATAACATTTGAGTATGCACCGTCATTCACGAGACATGTTTACGGCCGCAAGGTCAATTGCTAATCTAGTCGTCGAATGCCACGGCAGACAGATGTTCGCAATGAATGTTTTCCAAATACTGAAATGCAAAAGAATTGACTGCAGAAAAACATTTAAAGCTGAAGTTTAAACCGCATAATTGTCAAAACACACTTTAATGGGTGGGACAAAGGCCAAATCAGAAGGTATAAAACAGAACTAAAAACCTGCTCTACAGAACTGGTTGACGTTTTGTCAATCATTAAGGCGTAGTTTACAGACAGTCATTGCCTTCGACTGTGACACATTCATTGATAAAGGGAAAACCAGGTTTTCAGTGCATACGACATACTAATAATATGAACATTGAACATGACGTAATCAATTAAAATTTCGTACTGCAAACATTTTTTAGACAATGAAGTACTGAATGAAATATATGTTCATACATTTATTTTACAAGAATTGCATATTGTAAAATGAAAATTAAAATGAAAAATCTTATGTTGCGATTTTAAAGTCCGTCAGTATATATGCATATATGTAAGAGTCAAATGTATCTCCAGCATTAAATCTGTGTCCTTACTCAGATCTTTGTGCCGTGACTTCATAACACTCATATCTGTGGCCCTTTGTCCAGCCTAAAATATGCGTCCTGTCCCCAGATCTGTGTCACGTGACGTCATGCCAGTCTACGTTTATTCAAATCCGTGTCCTTTTTTTACAAAGTAGACATTCAGTAATATGACGTGAATTGGGACGGCATATATATTATGCTACAGGGTTAAAACGCTCATTCCTGTCCTTATCGGAGATCGTTGTGTAATAACACAACATTATTACAAACTGTGCAAATCAGTTGGAAAGGGCTTGTTTGACTTCTCAGATCGGCACTAAGCTAACAGTTCAACCAACAAAGAAAAAGCAAAAGACACAAATCTATGATACCGTCATTTGTTTGGTCTTCAAGTCTTCTTTACTCCTTTTCCCACCTACTCCCCAAAAAGGGTTTATGACTAATGTGTCTATATTGCGAGAGAAAAAAAGTTAAAAATATTCTGACTGTTTTCACTATTAAACTATTTCCTTGATTTAATAAATTATCAAAAGAAACTTAATAATAAGGCTAACTAACAACTTAAAGATATAAGTACAAGTTTTTCTACACTTTTTAATATGAGAGAAAAGAAAACTGTAAGCTCCTCTTCCCCCGATTCCCTCCCCTTCTTGTCTTGGTTTTCGCAATGGCCTTAACTGATGTCGATTGAATTTTGATTCTAATATGACAACTAATATATCGTCAACTAGTTTAATCATAGTATATATACTTTTAGCACAAACGCATTAAAACACAAAATTGGCTGTTACCTTATTTATACGACCAGGTAAACTCAATTTGCGACAGTTAAACCCACGTTGTACGTAGGCCAAGCTTCAAGTACAACACGGTTAGGTATTCTATCTAGTCCTTCCTGTAGCTTGGTGAATGTGATGAACATTTGCAACTCTACTCCTCTACGTAGTCATGGTCATTGTCATTATACATCACCTACTCTACATGATGTCTCTATTAATGACCTGCTGCCATTTATACAAAAGCCGTTAGGTATTCATTACATTCGCACGAAGCTTTATTAATTACCCCTTTCAAAACTCCATTCTCTGTACAACTTATGTTTGGAAACCACTGTTACAAACCCCCATTCAAACCAATAAAAACTTTCAGCTATCATCTTGGATATTGCAAGTCACAGACTTTTCAAACCAGTTCGCACTGGAAAAGACGAAAAGGAGTAAAGATCCTTTCTAAAACTTTCCTTTGCTAACAAAGGTCTCGTTGCCACTATCTTGGGCAATATCCTTCATCATAAATCAGTTCACTCGAAAAAACCTCCCTATTTTAAAGATCAGCCTGTACCTATTATTTCTTATATTTATACCAAACCAATTGCAACTAAAATGTTCAATTACAAACACGTGTTGCAGGATCTCAATATTGACGACTTCAAGTCTTAACCTCCTGATTGCACCTGTGCTAGTTCCCCCATTCATATATAATCCTGCTGGCCACGCTATTACTGGTGACCTAAACATTGTCAACAACACTTCTCTGCGAAATGTGTTATCCAAAGGCCCGAAATATCGTGAGCCTAAATCTATGAATTGGAAACACAACTTCAAAATACTGATGGATTCAGTCAAGGATTATGCTAGACGATGGATTAAACGCGAGAAAGAAGAAGTAGATACTCTTTCCGAATGGATTAAGGCTGTTAGGCCGTTGATACAAATCAGAATTAAAAAATTGAATGGGTCTTTGAATACCCATGCTACATCAATCTTTAAAAGACCTAACATGTTGCAAAACACCTATCCTACCTCCATGACGAATATGTTGTTGTCCCTGCAGATAAAGCTCCAAACAACATAGTTTTTATGTGTAAATCACTGGATCTTCCTTCACTGTATTGGATACCTTAACTACATAAGTGTCCTTATAAACAACGTTATATTGCTAGGTCTTCCAAGTGCTCCACGAAACCTCTTTCTAAATTATTAACATCAGTATTATCAGCAATCAATAACACTTCTCTGCGAAATGTGTTATCCAAAGGCCCGAAATATCGTTAGCCTAAATCCATCAATTGGAAACACAACTTCAAAATACTGATGGATTCAGTCAAGGATTATGCCAGACAATGGATTAAATGCGAGAAAGAAAAAGTAGATACTCTTTCCGAATTGATTAAGGCTGTTAGGTCGTTGATACAAATCAGAATTAAAAAAACTGAATGGGTCTATGAATACCCATGCTACATCAATCTTTAAAAGACCAACATGTTGCAAAACACCTGTCCTACCTTCATGACAAATATGTTGTTGTTCCCGCAGATAAAGCTCCAAACAACATAGTTTTTGTGTGTAAATCACATTACATAAACTGCTTGATGATTGAATTAGGTATTGACAATTTACTTTCCTGAATAATCAAAGGTATTTTCTATGTTCCTTTGAAATTTCAACCAGAGATGAAGAACTGGATCTCCCTTCACTGTATTGGATACCTAAACTACATAAGTGTCCCTATAAACAACTTTATATTGCTAGGTCTTCCAAGTGCTCCACGAAACCTCTATCTGAATCATTAACATCAATATTATCAACAATCAAAACCGGGCTCCAAAGTCATTGTGAAACTACCTATTCTAGAGGCGGCGTGAATCAGATGCGGATACTAAAAATTTCAAAATATCTTTTAGAGTACATACAATCTAACAGTCTTTCATCTTGCAATAGCATTAAAACATTGACTTTTCTACACTTTACACAAGTATTCCCCATTCCAAACTAAAAGACAAATTGAAAGAGTTGGTCCTGCTTTGTTTCATAAAAATTCAAACAAAAAATTCTCTGAAACTGATGTTATCAAAAAGCTTGATTTCTTGATTGACAACATATTTGTTACGTTTGGAGGACGTGTTTTTCAACAAACTATCGGGTTTCCATTGGAACCAACTGTGCTTCTCTTTTTGCCGACTTGTTTCTTTATTCATAAGAGGCTGACTTCATACAGGAACTTCTTCGGATGAAAGAAAATAAGTTAGCAGTATCCTTTAACTTTACTTTCCGCTATATAGATGATGATCTCTCGCTAAATAATTCAATATTTGGTGACTATGTTGAACGCATCTATCCCATCGAATTTGAGGTAAAGGATACAACATATACATTTAAGTGTGTCACATATCTTCACTTACACCTAGAAATTTACAATAAGGGTCGGTTGAAAACAAAACTTTACGACAAAAGAGATGATTTCAGCTTCCCAATTGTGAACTTTCCATTTCTATGTAGCAACATTCCAGCAGTGCCTCCATACGGAGTATATATCTCCTAGTTGATACGATATTCCAGGGCTTGTATTTCCTATCATGATTTCCTTAATAGAGGGTTGCTGCTCACAAGGAAGCTATGTAACCATGAGTTTCAAAAGAGAGGCGAAAGATACCAAAGGGACATTCAACTTATTGGTAGAAAATAAACTGACAACGCCATGGCAAAAAAAAAAGAAGAAGACCAACAGACGAACAGACAAACATAGAAGACTAAAGGACTGAGCAACACGAACCACAACAAAAACTGGGGGTGATCTCAGGTGCTCCGAAAGGTGATCGTGAAGTTGAAATCATCCCTTCGTAAATTTTACGGACGCCATCACAAGTTGGTTGACCGTTATGGAATGTCTGTTTCACAGATGACTACGGATATGTTCCAATTGTCCTGACTATAATCCCGTTCCCTTTTCCCCGAATGTGACCTTCCGAATTAGACTAATCCCCGGGTGTGTACCAACATGAGGAACACGACGGGTGCCACATGTGGAGCAGAATCTGCTTACCCTTCCGGAGCACCTGAGATCACCCTACAATTTTGGTGAGGTTCGTGTTGCTCAGTCTTAAATTTTCTATGTTGTGTTTTGTGTACTGTTGTTTGTCTGTTGGTCTTTTTCTTTCTTAGCCATGGCGTTGTCAGTTTATATTCGATTTATGAGTTTGAATGTTCCTTTGGTATCTTTTGCTTCTCTTTTATCTTTATTCTGATGCATAATAAACAAATTAGTCCATATCAGTTATAATTTTGGTGTAAAATTTCATAAAACGAAAATTCTGCGAATTGATGTTATCTTATTTGGCAACTAACAAGGTGACGTATGCTTCCGGGGTCAAATGTAAACACAGGATGTTTTCATGCTTTTTGTACGCATCATCATGTAATAAAATTGGATAAAAAAATGTTTTGAACAATATAATGCTGATATCATTTTATGGGGGTAAAACGGCAAACAGCAAAAACAGTATCGTGTGTATAGGCTTTCACGGTTGACAAAATTACCGTATTTGTCCTATTAGAACCGAAATAATTCATGGCAGCCGTAGATTTGTTTTCATTTAACTATGGTTTGGGCATTTATATTCGAATTTTACCCGGATTTTAATCCTGGTAGAGGAGTCTAAATACAGCTAAAACAACATTTTCCAAAAGACCAAAAGAGTAAAAAAGTATATTTTAACAAAACGCATTTGACTAGCAAGTCGAACAACGGATGTTCTTAAACCCTGCTGACTGCCATGGCGATTGCCAAATAAACGGATCACCAGATGTAACAAAATGGATCTTAATTATTAATTTAATACCAAACAGAAAACAATAAACTTGCGGAAGTAGTCATTGTAATCATTTGTACATCTCCAAATTGAACTTGACTATTCTGCCTGTAAGGGTATATTTAGTTGACAATAACATATTGAATTTAAACTTGTTATCGATCCGAAAGACTATAAAATTGGCAAATTTGCATCCAAAAATAGGAAATGTCTTGTAGGGGTAAATTCAGTAAAAAAATCTCCCATTGACTTTTATACAAATCTATGTCTTGAATCAAATTTATACCTGATTTACCTTAGAAATCAGAAGCTTTCATATATCATTCATTAAAGTACAAATGTAGCCCCATCTTTTGCAACAATAAAAACATAGGGTCATGCGGCATTTTTGGGCATTATCATGGCCTTAGTTTCATAGACGGGAGTGTAATCCTGAAAAGTTGTCCAGTATGTTTTTTTAATTAAAGACACGCAATGAATTATGTAAAAAAAAAATGAATATCTTCATACGGTTAGATTATTCGAGTATTAAAATACTTGAAAAGTGTTTATTTACAACTTGATCTGCAACTTAACATGGGGAACACTGCTAAAAAAATACACTATGTTAAAGGGAGATAATTCTGATTTTCCATATGATTTTACACATTATTAGGAGAAATGTGTGCAAAATGTGATGTAAAATGGGGAGAGTATTTATGCCTTTCATTAATTTTATAACTCTAAAGTGTAATTTCTATTGTTTCTTTCAATCTGATCACAAAACTGATTTTCCCATATACTCCATGCTTCCTCCCACAGTATACTCAGTGCATCCTTGCCAACCGTAGTAAAACATAGAATTTTGTATGAAAAACAACTTTAACTGGTTCCAAAAAGCTTCCATTGCATTAATATTTACAGGAACTGAGCTTTGTGATTGTTGTGAAGCCTTAAAAAAGTACAGTGACAGAGTGCATATTTTCCTATAGGGGTAAATTCAGTAAAAATTCTCCCATTGACTTTAATGCAAATATTTGTCTTGCATTAAATTTATACCTGATTTACCTTTAGAAATCAGAAGCTTTCATATATCATTCATTAAAGTACAAATGTAGCCTCATCTTTTGCAACAATAAAAACATAGGGTCATACGGCATTTTTGGGCATTATCATGGCCTTGTTTACAAACACTGTAGATTCGCACTTAATTCCTATACTGACCCCATTACTTTTCCACCCTGTAGTAAAAAAACTAAGTGCTTTTAACTCTAGTTTTGATCCATCTATCAAAAAATATTTATTACAAACATTATCTACCAATCAGAAGAGCACAGGACTTCAGTGTTATACAGAAAGCTCTCCTCCTAATGAGCGGTCCCTGATGACGTATATTTATTTACTGAATTTACCCTGTAGGTTGATGTACATCTTCTCTAACAAATTATATTTTACGAATACATTTTTCAGTGCTCCGGTCGATTTTTTTCTGTTTCCGATTTATCTTTCAAAATTGATTTGTATGTTTTAAACGGATTTATGAAATTTGAAAACCGGTATACTGTGGTCTTTTATTTGGTTCAAACATACAATATCAAATTTTAATTACTTTTTGTCAGTATGCAGAACTTATACTTTTATCATAAAAATGATACTGTTTTGGGTATGCTAATAATAATTTGATTGAGTTTGGGATGAATGTCATTAGCATTTCCAAATGTTGAATTATTCAAACTCTGATGTTGTTCTGCTCAGGCATAGATTGCTATTGTCTCCATATTTAATGCGTTTTTGCACAACTTTTGGGGATTTTCTTCTTTTTTTTTAATGCTCTTCAACTTCGTTTTTTGAATTAGCAAACCAACTGTTTTTATTCGAGCGCCACTGATTTGTATTAACTCTGTTTTTTAGGATAATTTGGTTAAACACAGTTTATATAATATTAAATGAAGGTATAAAATCTTCAATGTAAATGTAAAGGTACATATAAGGGTTCTGAACGATTTTAGTATCTCAGTACAGTCGCCAAAATAGATATGTTTCTAGGGAAACAGTAAAAATATGTTAAAATTAAAGCAACTGCTTTGTTAAATATTGTTCATATTTTTTACAGGTGCAACGAAAAATCAGATTTTATGATAGAAGAGAAAAGTTAAGAGGTATATCTGTATCACTTTTAACAGAAGAGGCTGAGAAAATATATACAATGACATCGCGTCGTCGAAGAAACACTAGAGTAGTTGCACCAATCAATGACTAGCATTAATGCGTGGGTTGTCAAGTTTTGTAGATATTTTAATTTTGTTATTGTATAATCTGTACATAACCCATTGCTGAATTGTCATAGTTACAAAACATGGGCAGTAGATTCCAGGGGAAAATTATTTCTATTTCGTTTGAATTGGATTTTTCCTTTTCTATTTTTGTGTTTAGACTTCTTCTAGAACCAGTTTGATTAGTATTTTAATCATTATTCGTTGGGTAAGTATACTGTTTTAGCTTCAGGGATATTTTTTTTGGCCTTATTACGGGTCGGGTTCTGTAGTCATATATAAGTTTGATACTTGTTTAGTATGTATAGATATGCTCACCGTAACTTCCACATGTTATGCGTAATGTATTATTCACAGTATATTGTCCTTATTTAATGTTTAAATAGATTTGTGTTTGGTAGATATTTGAAATATTTTGTAAACTTTTAATAAATTTTGCATTGTATAGTAAATAATAAGTTACTGCGAGTAAAGCAAGTCATTTTTATGTCTTGCTTTTAATTGAGCCATGTATATAGATTAGAAATGTTTTAATTTCGAACGAATTTATGGGTCAGAATTTTAATTAAAAACTAAGTCTTTTGTTTACATTGTTCTTTTTTGTTGGTGAGCACTGTCCTGTTGAACCATTCTCGGTTTTCATTACTATCATTCTATTGAGTAACCTTTTTAATTTCTGTTCTGTTTGCCGACCAGTTCTGACATTATATTTTTATAAATTCATAAGCGATCTCCATCAGAAAAAAACTTTTATAAGTTCATTTTAATACACAGGAATCCGTCTCTGAACATATGGAAATCATTTTTTTTTTAAATATAGCAATCTTTTGCTTCATGCCTTGAAGGATTGTACACTGCGTGAATGCAGTTATTGAGAGTTCACTTTCATAATTAATTTATAATGAAAAGTCATTTATGTATATCATTTTATAAGTGCTACGAAAAAAAGAAGGCAAAATTGTGTTTGCCATTAGACGCGAAGGGGTGAGTATGTTCTAAAAAATAAAAAAAAAGGGAATAGAATTATAAAAAATAAAAAACATTTTAAGTTGAGTTTTGCATATTGCAATCTTAATATTATGGTATATATATGGAACAACAAAAAAAGAATATAAAATGGTTATTTTATTGGAGATCCTAGAGTAAATGTTTTAAAAGAAGCTATGACTGTTGATATATAAAGCAAATGAAATTAAAAAAAAATCAATTCATTCATCAATGCAAAGGTAAGCATCAGATGTAACTATCGTGAATTTAATATTTATTGACTAAGTTTTATAATTATTATAAAATATACAATTTTTGGAAAAAAAAGAAGATTTTTATAACATTTTTTGTGTGCTTTTTTCAAAATGAAGGAATTTAAGATATACTGATATTAAATATTACGCGAAGAAGAAAAAAACTCTTTTTTTGAACAATTTATCCTTTTTGTCCTTACACAGCTGTCTCAGTGCTATTTCACTTCAACTGATGAAATGCTTATTAAATATAATTTGTATCCCTTTTATTAACCATATTAACACTTAAAGTGAACTCAGGTTTCAGTATTACAATAGGAAAGGATAATTTTGTAATGTCATTGGAATGTGTGAATATGTTCTAAATTAATCAGACAATAAATGGTCTTGTTTTATTAACATTTAAAAATGTTGACAAAATTACAGAACGTATGAACGATTTTGAAAAAAAAGGCTTAGAATTTATGAATGCAACATTTATTGTGTTAGAATCGTTTATTATAAAAAGATCTAACAATGATGACTACGATTCAGCAAAATGGGTCGGCTTATCTATCATTTGAGTAAAACTAAGAAGAGATTACCTAAGCTGTATTTTGCAAACCCTTTCGGAATTGTTTATCCTCAATGCTCCTCAACTTTGTACTTTATTTGGCCTTTTGACTTTTATGGTTCGAACGTTAATAATGAGTCTTGTGTACAAAATTTTAATCCTGGTATCAACCAATGGGTCGATGCCACTGCTGGTAGAGGTTTTCTACCCGAAGCTATCGCCAGCCTAGTAGTCAGCACTTACGTTTTGAAAATGAATTATCATTGATTTGGTCATAATTTTAAATTAACTTTGATTTTTCTTTGAAACAGGAATAGATTACCCTAGCTATATTTGACAAAACCTTTTGGAATGTTGGATCCTCAATGCTCTTCAACTTCGTACTTTATTTGGCCTTTTAAACTTCTTTCTTGCAATGTCGTCCACCTTCTTCAGAGAATCCACTAAATCATTGGTATACCGGGAAACTTCTTTCCTCTCCGTAGTCAACTTTGATGTTCCCAAAATGAAATCCAGTGTTGAAAAACCTCCCTGCCCAAAATCATATTTGCAGAAAATCCTGTTTGTAAGTTTCGAGTTGCACAGATTGCTCCAACAAGTAGTTGTAAAAAGACATCCAATTTTGTTGTTTATTTTTGAAATAACATTTATCTGTAAAATAGATCTGTTAAAATGCTTTCCTTATATATTAGATGAAGGATGGTATGGTGTTGTTCTAGTCTTGGCTGCAACAATTGGCAAAACTGTCTTACCAGATTCCCATCCATGTTTTTCCTTGGTCTATGTGGAGTTCAATTGGACAGCCAAATCTGGAAAAGAAATGATCCACAACTGTTTTTGCTTCAACCTGAGCTGTATGCTGTCTGTTGTGCAATCGGGAAACACTCCAACCACCTGGTGTATTGATCAATTACCATTAACAAGTATTTACATTGTGATTTTATGACTGGAAGAGACCCTAAGATGTCTATATGGACTTGCTCCATAGGAAAAAAAGCGTGGTACTGCTCTAACTTTGATCTCAGTGTTCTTGTCAGTTTCTCGTTCATGTTGCATATATCACATGATTTTTACATACAATTTGCAGTCTTGGATCGTATTGTATCATACAGCTATTTGGTTCAAACTTTTGTACTGTCAAAAATGACACAAAGATATATTATGTCTTGACATTCACGAAGAAGTTAATCTTGCATTTGTTTTGGTACCATGAAGAGTTATCCTCCCACTTATTAAATAAAACATTATCTTTTATCATTATTTGTTGTCTTTAAATACGATAAATGTCGAACTACTTTACTACTACTAGTAAGTTGAAGTTTCAATTTAGATGGCCCGTGTTCCATATCTCCCTATCTTGTTAGTGTCTTTGAAATTTGCGTCTTTCATCGTTTCTTCGTTCAATTCAACCAAAGAATTTGAAGGTGTCCAATTTGTGTCGTAATAACTTTCTCTGGTAATTCATCAGATTGTTAAAGGAATGATAAAACAAAAGCCTCCTCTTCTTCAAATGTTTTTCATGTTGCCTTGCCCACGTACAGAACTTGCAACCACCACAATGTAACTCTTCTAAGTTGACTTTTGGTTTGTAGTTACCGCATAACTCTACCTCGTCGGGTTTTCTGAACAACCCATCTTGCCAGCTCTATGTTGTATGACAATGTTGTATTAAGACAGTTCATCTTGCTACTTGGCCTTCAATATTTTTGATATTAAATAACCAAGTCAAGCTATTGCCATCTGTCCTGGTCACAAAGATACAACAGAGCAAGTTTTGACGGAATTGTCTAATGAAGAAAACGATGTCCCGTAGTTCTTTTCAAGTCGTACAATATTTTTGTTGAATCGGTGTTAAGCGAAGCTGATTGTATTTTCCACTCTATCTTGTACCTGGCTTAATTCCACTCTAATAGATTCATGTGTCACATCGGTGTCGAGTATAAATATTTCTTCATGTGTACGATAGCTCAGTATTACGGAGTAAGATTCTTTAAGCAAACAGAATGACTCTTCTTCATTCAAGTTAAAATCTGCTTTTGTGCTAGTAAGTCGATGTAAAAGCTCTCCTAGCTCAGCAAAATTGTTTATGTGGTCACGATGGTAGTTAACGAATCCTATAAATGATTCAACTTCTTTTCTCTTTCTTGATGTTGACCATTTCTTCACGGATTCTAAATTGTCGGGATTAACTAAAACACCAGCTTCCCTGACGATTTTGACAAGAAACCTACCTTTGGTCTGTAGTAGTTGGCATTTACTTGGTTTCAAATTCAAATTGTACTTTTGGAACCTAGAAAATACTTCACTGTAACTCCAGATGTGATCATCAAAATCTTTGCTTAAAACAATGACATCTTATAGATACGCTAAGCAGTTTCCCCGGTGAGGCCTTGAAGAACAAGCTGAATTACTCTGCTGAACGTTGAAGGATTATTTCAACGACCAAACGGAAGTTTTATGTATTGAAACAGACCGTATTTTGTAACAATTACGGTTTTGTGTCTGTCTTTTTCGTCTAGCTTTACTGGAACTGGTAGTGACGCCCATTCTGAAGTAGATGGTTCAATGATAGATTTATCTAATAGTTGCTGCTGTGCGTGTTCTTCCTTCTCTTTTTCGAATCTCAAAGGAGTTCTTCGCATTTTCCTTTTTTTTTTAACAATAAATGTGTATATTTTATTTCGACTACTGGGTCCAAGCTCCTCCTGGTGTTCCCTGTTACATTCCACTAATTATGTAGGGAAGTAATTATTTGCTAAATTCTAAATAAATCATACATATTTATATATTAATATATCTATATTTTAAAATATCCCACATTATTTAAATGTTGTCGTATGGCTACTAAAATATTATTTTTCACACGAACTCTCCTGTCGAATTCTTAAATGAAAATTGAAAACACATTGATATTTTTTTGTCTTTTCATCAGAAATATAGTAGACTTAAAAAACAGAATCGTTAAGAAATAATCAAAATCAAAATATTCTTCATCAGAAATCTTATAGCCAAAAAACTAAATGTTTTAATGATATCTTAAAAGTTATCTTATTTCGCCTTAAAACTTGATATATTTTATTTCAAAATGTTATTAGATAAGGACACAATATAAAAAAATATGATCGTAATCTTTTTCTGGTGTACAAAAGTTACAAAAACTGTATCTAACAATTTTTTTCTTTTTATATTGACTGTGCTGTTCATAGAGTTTTCCGATTTTAAGATTGTTGCCCACTCATATGGTATTGATTTCTTTATTAAATTTACTTCAGCTATCCAGTTCGATTTATTTTTCAATCTATTTCAAATTCCATTATGAGAAACAGAGCCTTCATCAATTAGGATATCATTTACATACATTAGATCGCTTTTAATCCAAATTTTTCTAAATTAAAGTTTTATTTTCATATTTAATAAATTCAGCGTTCCATAATATTAGTTTTCGTTTCTCTGTAAATACTTTTTTTTATCTAAACCCTCACCGGTAATCTCCGACATTTATAGATATCTTTACAAAAATTTGGGATATTTAAAAGATTTTCATCGGTATTACTATCGTCACTATCGTGAATGTTGTGGCTGTTAATTCGATTTGATTGATAAGACTTGTGTTTCATACAAATTGTGTTGATGTAATGACTAGTTGCGCACAAGGCAAAGTTACGTGTTTAAAGGCGTTTCGTAAGCAATGGGTAACGTTAGTGACACTAGTTACATAGACAATTGATAGCGGCAAATCCTTGACAGTCACTGTTTTTTGTTTTAAAACACAAACCAGTTTAGAACAAAACTACTGATATATTTTTCAGGTATGAGCTTCAAATTCCCTACAAACGCACTAGCTAGTCTTTTTACTCAAAATGCCTTAAAAGCTATAAAGTAGATTCTTATATTAATCAATTCTAACCCCCCTTTTTCGTATGGACCAATGATAGAATTTCGTTCTACTGTGTCTGGTTTCCTATCCCAAATGAATTTAAAACAAACAACTGTTTCTATTTCTTGAAAACATTTTTTCGGGAACTATTTTTTATTTTTTTTCCAAAATAGATAAACAAAGGATGTGGGGTATCCCATCAATAAAACAAAATTAGTACATGTACAGCAAAAAGCACAAAAAGCAAAGGAACAGCACTTGTATTGCTTTTAGACAGATTTCTTTTCGGTCAAGAATAAATAAATCTTTCCTATTCTATTTTCCAAGTTTAGTTTCTCACGTTCCTCACCACATTGCCTAAAATAATATACACCTAGGTTTTTAACTGGTCTTTCGCTCCAGTTGATTCCATCAATTTTCTGTTGAATATGACGAGAACTTTCGGTATCAATCTTATGTTGAATATACCAGTTGAAAAGTCCAATATCTAAGTCGTCCGACTCCTTGGCAGAGATGTCTTGACACTGTATTGATCTATTGATCAGTTCCTTGATATGAGCTGGTAACTTCTATTTAAGCTGCTTTACGTCATACGAGTGTTGATTTTTGATATCAACTTTATTCTAACGGAAGCTAGTATCCATTCCACTTTCATCTGTTCCGTCCATTACAGCAGACACTCCTTATCGTATACCCATCTGAATTTGTTTTTTCAATGTTTTATAGTGCTATGTTGGATTTTTCACCATCATTGGTACTTGTTTTCCACCCCTGCAAAGCATATTTGGCTCCAATAGACCATTCATAAAATTTGTTGGTTGAATGACAATATCACTCTCGGGTCTCTCATTTAATTCCATAATGGCAATTGTACTGGAACAGGGTGGTATGACTGTCTTCTTCTCTTTTATCTTTTTTCTGTAGATTTTCATTTGCTGATCTTGTCTGTTTGTAG